TGGCATTGCTCTCGAGTACTCATCTTCAACATCTTATGCTTCCAGGGAAGATACCACATCTGCTTGAGGAACAGATAGGGCAAGTGCGAAGGATATAAGGAAGCATGTGGAGACAAGCGTAACAGCACACGTGTCGATACATCCATTACTCTGTCAAAAGCAAAAGTATCCCATATCAGCAGGGTCGAACGTACTCTAGATTTGATGGACTTGTTTTGACCCTCAAATTCTTCAGTCGGCCTTATACTCTGGAGGACACCAGAAAACCCTCCAGCTCAGTTCAAGAATAAGCATGTGGAAAGTTACTTCTTCAAAAGCAAAAGTATCCCATATCATATCTTCTCATTTTTCTTCTCTTTATCCTTCATGCTGCTACAAGATGGGGAAAAGGTGAACAATCAGCCGGAGCTCTGATTGCTTACCTTGTCTGTCACCTCTTTCAGCAGATCCCCTAGCTCGGCGACTTGGGGGATTCCTACTACATGGTTTGTATCGCGCTTGACCAAGCCTGAAACTACAAGTAAGCTTCAAGTAAAATTGATACATTACCTTGTGCATCTCCACGAGTTAAAGATACCACATCTACCTATGAGACAGATAAGGCAAGTCAAGACGATACCACACTCCGATACTTAGAAGTTTCGTGATTACGAGATCATTCTCCCACAATATTTCCTAATGTCATTTGTACTAAATCATTCACTTGTACTCACTAAAGGAGAGCTTGAACCTATGTACTTGTGTAAACCCTTCACAATTAATGAGAACTCCTCTATTCCGTGGACGTAGCAAATCTGGGTGAACCATGTACATCTTGTGTTTGCTTTCCTATCTCTATCCATTTATATACTTATCCACACTAATGACCGGAGCAATCTAGCGAAGATCACAAAAAGCGACCGTTTTCGCTACCTAGGACCTATCTTGCAAGAGAACGGAGAATTAGATGGAGATCTCAACCATAGAATACGAGCTGGATTGATGAAGTGTAAGAGTGCATCCGGCGTGTTGTGTGACCGTCGTAGGCCACTGAAGCTCAAGGGAAAATTTTATAGGACGGCAATAAGGCCAACGATGTTGTATGGCACATAATGTTGGGCGGTGAAGCATCAACACGTACACAAAATGGGTGTAGCGGAGATGAGGATGCTTCGTGGGATGTGTGGGCACACGAGAAAAGATAAGATTGGGAATAAGGATATCCGAGGTAAAGTAGGAGTAGCTGAAATTGAAGGAAAGATGAGAGAAAATCGGTTCCGGTGATTTGGACATGTGCAAAGAAGGCCTAATGAAGCTCCGGTTCGAAGATGTGACTACGGGACAGAGGTTCAGGGCCGAAGGGGTAGAGGAAGACCTAGGAAAACTTTGGAAGAGACTCTAAGAAAAGACTTAGAGTACTTGGATCTAACGGAGGACATGACACAAAACCGAGCGCAATGGCGTTCTAGGATTCATATAGCCGACCCCACTTAGTGGGAAAAGGCTTTGTTGTTGTTGTTGTTGTTGTAAGTATATTGCTGTCACACGTGATGCGACTCTTCGGTCTTCACTAATGTCATTGCATATAATTAAATAACGTTAAGCACTCCTACCTGTTAATTTTTTTATTTTTTTTCAATTATTATGCTTTTTTCAGTTTCTGCTGCTGCTCGGCTGCCTTCAGACTATGTAATGAACTCTTCTTCTCCAAATATCTCTTCTTCTGATTGTATAATCTTCATGGTCTGTTTGGGCTATTCGGTTTTCAATTGGATTCTCTCTGTTGGGTTCTGTGTTTGAAGTTGGATAAATATATATGTTGCTTTTACAGTTTGATTAACAATTCTTAATTATAATTGGCTAATTCTTTTACTAAGCATTTGTTTGTACTCATATTTCTAACGTTGGAGGTTTATTCTAATTTAAGATGGAAATTGATGTTATGAAGAGTTTAAAATGTCAGGTCGAAACGCTGTCGTTCTGTATGCAACTGAGCTTATTAATTTCTTAATTTCTGAACATTTGAGGTGCTCTTCTTCTTAACAACCCGTTCTCTCCACTTCCTTATCATCTGTTGGATCGCCGAGAGTGGAGAATGATTTCCCGAGTTCTCTTGCGTTGATTAATTAAGACTGAAACTAATGATGATTTTGTTGAGAAATAAGCTTTTAAATGAAACTAAGCTGCAGAAACAAAGTCCAGGGTAAGTTGAGGGGTTTGAGAGAGTAAAAGTGGGATTATGAAGGGTTAGAGAGGAAAGTAAGGGTGGGATTAGATGAAGGGTTTGATGGAAGCTAACTCTTAAATATGATGCCGTTGAAAAACAAAGTCAAAGATAAGTTGAAGGGTTTGAGAGAGAATGTGGGATTGGAACTAAAATATTCGTATGTGTATTTGGAATACAAAGTAGTATAATACGTGATATATGTGGTTTATACTTTCTATACTTTTTCTTATGTCTTTTTATGCCTTGGTCCAATTACCTTTTGAATTCAATCTGTTTTTTTAGAAACTTGGTTGCAAGAAAAAGTTGGAAAGGCAGCATAATTGGAAAACTGGGTTACCACAATCACCTCTAAACAGCAGAGGAGTCTGCATTTGATGTTACTAGCAAAAATGCACGCGCGTTGCTGCGGGACTTGAATGCACAAACCTTAACCACATGAATAATTTCCGCACACAATAATTTAAAAGACGGTGTGGTACCTAAGAACCAATGAAGTGAAATTTTACTCGCTACATCTGGATATGCATGCTATAAGAAAACATTCATTTGTAGATCGTATTGTGCCATCAGTATTATACTCATAGTTTCAAGTGGTCAGCCCATTACATGGGGGAAAACATAGAAAAAGGGAAAGCAGAAACATAGAAGACATAATATTTGAGCATCTAGGAATAGTAAGTTTCTGAAAAAACTACTAAACCATCGCACAAATTCAATCATTAAACGTTACATTGTGAGCCAAGATAAAGATAAGGTATCGAAACAAACTGCTATGATAGGAAAATGTTTAAGACGATGAAAATACTAAATTGGATTGGGCAACCATATTTTCTATTGGTAACTAAACGAATAATTTAGAATTATACAAACCCGATTCTAGCTCATCTGGTTCCTCTCATCCTCGGCTTTGTATTTCAAAGGCTGAGTAGCCAAGTTTGCAAAAGTTACCAAATAATCACCATCTGAAGATTGAGAAAAAGCCATATTCACATCGGAGAAAACTTTACATAAAAGAGGACAAATTAAAATATTTAAAGTGTCAAGATGCAAGCATTCTTAAGATAGATCAAGCAAAAAAATAAATTAAAAGAGTCCAATGAAAATACAAAAGGAAAAGGAATTAAAGAAAAGTTACAGTTTAAGTATTTCAAATTAGTGATTAATCAACCAAACAGTCAGTCTCAATGATCTATCAATACAATGGACATAATATAGAAATCCAAGTAAACTTCGTAAACTATCAACTCCTCAACTCCATCACACTCTCCGTAAACTATCAACTCCTCAACTCCATCACACTCCCACCTATGTTTCTAATTTACCTCTCCTTCGAGCTTCTCGATTACAAATTTATATATAGCAAACTAAACTGTCCATTTCAAATCAAATATACACAGGCAGAAAAGCAAAAACTAAACTCCCGCCACATAAATTAATCAATAATCAAACAAAGAAAAATTCTTGCAGACCAGAACAAATCCAATTGGATTTTCATGAAATGTAATTGCCAAAAACAAACATATATTTAAGTGCCCAAAATTTAAGCTTTACATCATAATATATTCTTCTAACACAAATGAAAGAAAGACGGATCAAATTATTAAGAAATGTAAGTTAGAGTTGTTATATTCACTTTCATGAGTATGATTCAAACTTTGACACATTTATTCATACTTTAATCAATTTTCAGAAATTGCTAATTGCCAAGATAGCAAGATAATGAATTCTATGAACGAAAAAAAAAAAATGACATGCAACTTCAACTTACCATGCCAAAGAAGCTCCATAAGAGTAGTAGCTCTCTCCTTACTGCATGTATCGAAAACATTGCAACCGTAGATCTTGGAAATTATAAAAATTCATCAAGTCAAGGGAATATAATAGTTGTGGGAAGGTGAGTATGCAACCAAAAATCTAAGATATACTTGATTTGTGATTCCATTATAATTTCACAAAAAACAAAAAGATCAAATTTTGATTGAAACATCCAACAAAATCTCATCTGTTATAGATTGAACCAACCAAATAAAGAATCTATTAATATGATTTTCAACCTAACTTTACAAAGAAGCTTTATAACAGCGCAATCAATATCATCTAAACCCAACTACAAAGAAACTGATTGTATGCTATAAATTCCATGAGTGATTTGATTTTGTAGATTAAAAAGTCAAAGAATATTGAAATTTACTAAACAATTTACACTCATCAAACACAAAGAAAATAAATCCTGTATACAAACTCACAACAAAAGGGTGTTTATTTTCCGAAAATACTATTCAATTCCAAGTATTTGGGTTTACTTGATATCATGTGAAATCCCATTTAGAGAATGTTGATAATTTATTAGTCTAAACATCAGTAAAAACTTCCAAGCAATGTGCAAAACACTTTAAGCATTATCATTTCAAAAATGAACATAGGGTGTTTCAGTGCACCCGTCTGATACACAGGTGGGCTGTATCACATGAATCGGGATTCCCACATGCATCACATGTATTCATTAAACTTAAGTGAAATAATGAACACGTGTGGTTTTCATGGAGCACACGCTACAGATGCGAAGAAAAAAAGAGAGGCAATTTTCACTTCAAAAATAATCTTCCAATATATTTACACAGTAGTAAATTAATTGCACAAATATGAGAAATAAAAACATAAGCAAATAAAAGCCGGGAATATAAAAGAACCGATTGAATGACTTTACAATTAACCCACTTGTTGAAGAGCAATTTTGGATTTTTGTTTGGTATTGTCGGACTCTCCTCCAGAAAGTCACTTCTTTTTTTTTTTCTTTTTTTTTTTTTCTGATTACCCAGGTCGCAGTCAACCTGAGAAGTCCTGTAATTAAACACCAAAACAAAATTCGATCAGCACGAAATATTAATTGGAGGGGACTCGAGAGCAATTCTATGACTTTAGCAAACATGCATATTATTTTCTTAGTCCAAATATGAATTTGACATCATCTCTTGCAAAACCACCAACCAATATCACTTCTCAAAGAAATTATACATAGAAGAGAGCGAAGGCTTACCCAACAATCTCTGAATTTAATTGCAGACTGTTCAAGTGTCGACCGAAATCTATGCTTTCTTTCCCTCTTGACTTTGAACTCCGCTTCATTTTTTACAAAATAACAAATCAAATCAACAAAAATTAATTAAAAACTTCAACTGGGTAATCGAAAAGAGAAGATTAAATACCACAAAAATACTAATAAACATTAAACACCATAATACATTGGGAAAAGCCCAAGTTTCAAAAACCTAAACACCATAATTATATTGGGAAAAATCCTAAATCCTGCATTGCAACAAACCCCAAAACCCAATTACTGTTCCAGGTGGCATGCACAGTTTTTTGGTATAAGCAAAAAAGTAACCCCAATCCCAACTTAAGCAGAGAAATCACTTCATAATCCCTAAATACTGGAAAGAAGGAATCTTTGAAAGGGAAGCTTCCAGGTGGTATACACAGATTTTTATTATAAGAAAGAAGTAACCCCAATCCCAAATTAAGCAGAGAAATCACTTCATAATCCCTAAATACTGGAAAGAATGAATATTTGGAAGGGAAGCTCACCACTGCTATCATAGAGCGTGAGCACAGTCAGCTTTGAAGGCTGCAAACAAAAGCCCCAAAAAACAAAAAACCAGAGTCTCCTGAAACTGAACACAAAACTAAATTAAACAACCACACGTAGAATCATAGGCTACAAACAAAACCCCTAACACAATCTCAAATGGAAGGAAAGGGTAAATGGAAGAAGAAGAGATGTGACAGAGGGAGAGATACAATCCCTCAACCCCACCCTCTCTATGCAGCCGACACACTCGTTCCATCAACCCTACCCTCAAATTGTGCACCCAATCAACTCTTTTTCTGTCCCCCTTATCTTGCACCCGCCCTCACCCTCTCTCTACAACCAACCCCTCCCCTAAATCACGCCCCGACAACATCCCATCAGTGAAGAATCAAATCCAAAAGTAAATTGCAGTTACCTATTACGGTAGGATTAAAAAAAGAATCTCCAAATAGAAAGACAAAGGATATAATACAACAGATAGCTCACCAAAAAGCTGCAGCCCTTTCACAGTGGTGATACATTTCCACTTATTACGCATGGCTTTTTCAATTGTAATTTCTTGCTTCTCCTGCAGAAAAACACAACAGAACAGATTTCAATAACCACTCATACCTATTAAATGTCTGGAACTAAAACTTTCAGTATTTATCTATATATAAATATTGATTATGATCACATTTTGATCATCGACATAAAATACAAATCATTGTATATTTGCACAATCAAATGTTTATGGAACTCACAACCGAGAGCCAGAGCTTCAATTCCTGTGAAACCACCCTTCTCTGAAACCCTTGGCGACAAATTCTTACATCATCTATACCGTAAACTTGATCAATCAATCAAAGATTTATAAAAATTTAGAATTTTAACCTCAATTATAACATGCAGACCCAAAATTGATCCAAATCAAAGTTGAAGAATCCTAATAAGAACAAAGGAGCTAAACTATAGAACTTGGGTATTTCTTAAAACCCCTAACCCATGATATTTTAAATCCTTAAATTTTCTGACCACCGAAACACTATCAAACTAACATGATTAAAGAAATTGCTAATTACAAATGGGGAAAACTACAGCCCATGGGTAGTTCCTTAAATCCCATCATGTTTTCAATTCCAAAATTCTCGTCATTTAGGAAATCCACTAAGCTTGTCTACCCTGTACTGTGCACCTAATAATAGCGAAAGGAAGGAAAAAAATAAGATAAAAAAAATACATAGCTATTCGGCCATAACTGCATCCTATCTAAAACACACTAAAATGTCAGAGATAAAGTTTGGAACTCAGCATTGTATAACATTTACAGATGACAACCAACGTAAATTTGTTAAAAGTGAAACCAACCCATTTTTTTGAATGTTGTTATTTTGGGAAACCTTGCAAATCACAATGAATAGCATATGATAACCTTAAATAGGGCCGAGAATGTCGACTCACCATCCTCCTTTAGCATAGAGCAACTTGCTTCCTTAGCAAAGTAACACACCGGGATAACACGCTGCTGTTGAAGAATGTATCCATTGCCACACAGCTGAACGTCACAAAGAAAATTCAACACAAAACTCAACATTCACAATGCAAAATCCAAACCAAACACAAAATCAATGCTTTCAAAGTCGTATGGCATGCTAGCTTATCACAATTGTTTAGTATAAATTTACCCACATTATATATGGATAAATTTAAATAAAAAATAAAAGATAACCAAATAATACACTGGTAGTCTCCGTATTCCCCCAGTAAGCAAACCGTTGATGGGCTCCCCTTGAAAGCTTAGTTAATGAACCGCCCACCTGCACACGCACTTCAGAACTCAATTCATACACATAGGGAGGGGAGAGAGAGAGAGAGAGAGAGAGAGAGTACCACAAAGTCCCGATTTTCAATCGCACTGCAGAGAGAAATCAATTAGATCCCCATATCCCTCAATAAAATGTATAAGAATAATTTACAAATTTGTTAAAACTCATAAATTTCTTCCGTCACTATAAATTTTAACCATTCATTTGAATGAAGACAATATCAGTAAAAACCCACCACAAATCCTCACACTGAATTCCATCAGAAGTGCGAAAATCCCATGGTGTGAAATTATTAACCACGATTCATCAAACCGCGGAAAAAATAAAAATCCAGAAACTAAAAGCAACAATGCAGTAAACCCAGATAAAAACAACGACTAAGGACGCCCAAAAAACCAAACTGGGAAATCATGACAGCAACGAAGAACTCACTGAAATCTAATGGAATGGAGAGAGAGAACCATCGGGAGATGAGTAAAGCGGCATGCCAAGGAGGGGCAACAAATGAGTGAGTTTTGAGTTGTGGGTTTCGATTTTGTCGTTCAAGGGAAAGGAGGAGGAAAATGAATTGCACCCAACAGGCTTTACAGAACAAATCCTGAAGAAGGAACCTCAAAATCAGCCCCACCCCATGTAACAAAAATTAGTAAAAGAGTGTAAGAGTATTATATATGAAACTATATCATTGGAACCACTTAATGGAAAGTTGTAGTGCTATGGTATACTCAGTTATAGTTTCAAAACCAATAAAAGAATGCAAGACAGAATATATACACAAAAAAGTAAAAACTATTAAGTTTGAAAGATATGAAATGATTGAGCTTGCAGAAAACGTGGAGAGCAATTGAGAAAATGGAGCACTAAATTAACTGTTTTTTCTTTCCTCCCCTTCCCTCGCTGCATAAACAGTAGAGTAGCTCTAGTTTTTCAGTTTTTTTCACACCATTCTTCATGCCAAGCCAAAATCAACAACTAAATTTATACCATGCATGTTAATAATACCATGAAAAATTCCACTTCATTATACATGCATATTATTTTCTTAGTTCACTTATGAATTGGACTTATCTCTTCCAAAACCACCAACCAAAATCACTTCTCAAAGAATTATAAATAGAAGAGAGTGGAAGCTTACCCAAAGCCAATTTCGCGTAGTAGTGTTGTGCTACTTTGATCGCCAACCTGAACGCCAGCCTGAGCTACTGGATGCCCTGTAACTTTCATAAGGATTCGACGTGATCATGGAGTGCCGGCTGTCGACTACCTGACGCCCTCCCCCTCCTCCTTTATCCGGGCTTGGGACCGGCAATGTAAGATAAACTTACACGGCGGAAAAGAAACATTAGTTATCCACAGCTTGACAATTTCTTCATGGTGTAAGGATATATTTTGAACAGTTCATTGTCGTTTGTTTATCTGCAATTGCACCTGCATCTGCATTTGCTGCAGATTATATTACTCAAATGAAATGCAAATCAGCGAAGAAAGAGAGAGCTGAGTTGGAAAGCAAGAACAATATAGTGATAATTTAAACTAAAGTCCCTAAATATTGTTGCAGAGAGAATTCATATCAAGATTAACTACATTATTTGATTCGAATGTAATCCAAACGCAGCATAAACATGAAAGGTAAAAAATTAATAGCAAAAGTCACATTTAAGCAGCAATTAATAGCATAAATCAGATTTTAGTGGCATGGACCAAAATAATTCAGGAAAAAGGAAGCAATCCCAAATAAATAGAAAGAACTGGAGAAACAATTCGAAACAAATCTTTGGAAAGCAACCCCATCCCTCCCTCACCCTCTCTCTCTCCAATTCCAACTTCTCCCTACATCTCTCTCTCTCTCTCTCTCTCTCTCTCTCTCTCTCTCTCTCTCTCTCTCTCTCTCTCTCTCTCTCTCTCTCTCTCTCTCTCTAATAGACGTGCAGTTTTATTAATCTTTGTTGCCGAAGCATGCAAGATAGTGAAAAGGCAATTTATCTAAGAAAAAAAGGGCACATTGTCTATCATAGAAAGCAAGCGTGGAAGGAGAAGAAAATTAATCATAATCCAGAATATATTCAGAATACTGGTGTATAAAACGTAATTTTCAAATTATATCTAAGCTAATTAAAATGCCAAACCTTTTCAAGTAAGCTTGGCAGCCACTGATCAGGGTGTGTTACAAATAAGAAAAACAAAACCAGATGAACAACCAAATGCAAGTCGTAATCTGCAGAAGATTAATACCTTCACTAACAAAATGAATCAAGAACGAAAACATCCAAAATTTTATTAAATAAGTACAATCAGCAGAGGAAACTGAATAAATGTCTAAAGTGATACATTGAGATAAGGTGGCAGCATCAAAATCAGTAATAAAATATGCATAAACCCAATATGCATCAAAATCACTAAAACTTGACCTCACTTGTCAGAATATAAAAATTTCAATTAATATTGTTTCCCAAAATCTTGTTCAAAGAAAAAAAAAACATTCACCTCCAAGGCTCTAACCATATGGCAGGTGGACTTCCTCTTCCGCATTTAATGGTGAATTGAAGGCCAATGCCAGCGGCAGCCCAAGAGTAAGTACAAACCCGACTCCAGCAACAAAAACACAATTGACTTTCACACTACATAAATAAATAATTAAAAAAACGCATACTTGCACCCAATGCATTGTTTTGTTTTTTTGTGCAGTATAAGAATAAAAAAAGATAACGTTCCCCTGAAACCAAATTCATCCGACAATTTATTGCAACAAAGAGGGAGACCAAAATGGATAATCAATAAATTTAACAAAAATGGATTCAACTCACTCCAAGGTAAGCAAGCTTATTAATCATTTTGTCATAGTACAAACAAATCCCGAAAATTCGAAAACTACCTGTTATCCAATAAAAACCCAAAGAGTAGAAGTTGAAAAAAAAAATAATATATATGCTCTTGAATCGAACACTTCATCAAAAGAAGACTGAAATGTCGTTCAACATTGTTTTGGCTAATCGAAGTTAAAACATAACAAACCAATAAAAAAACAGACTGAAATGGAATCCCATGGTCAATGAGGTATCAGATTGTAAACACTAAAAGTCTAAAATTGTACCTACATAGTATCATCAAAACCTTGCGTATTCATTCACATTATCAAATGGCCAAAATATATATACCTGCAGGAAAGCAATGGAACAATATACCCATTAAAAAGTCACAAAAAGATTTGCAGAAACTGTCCCAACTATTATAATTATATGGTTCTATTGGCATATATAGACTTCAAATTTGATAGAGAAGCTAATTTCAAACAAAATAATGATAGAGAAATTATTCACTGTGCCCTGCAATTTTCAACAGGAAAAAAAATTCAAATACTCTGTCTAACCATAATTCACAAAAGCCATTTTCCTAGAAAATTGGTTAATCAAAATAATGTACAAATATTTATTAGTGACACGCCATAAAATTGCAACAATAATCGGGCTTCTTAACTGAAAAGCAAGACGTCAAAATTTCACAAAGAAAAAAAATAACCCTAGCTATAAAGAATGTAGAAATGTTCAACCATGACACGACCTTGTATTATTCCATAACCCAACTTAATATCAATCCATAAAGTGGAATTATAATGCTTACTTGTCACAGAGGGCATATGCTACAATGAAGGCATGTGGCCAAACTTAGTGAGTTGCAGCACTTAGCAGCTATCTACATACCAGAATATGGATTTTGGAGATGATAACAGCTTTCGGAAAGACTCAAAATCAAAGATTGAGCTGGAAAATGTGAAATAATCAAGTGAAATTAACATTGTCCTGATAATAAGCTAAGAAAATCATATTCATCATAAATCGGTAACCAAAGTCACAAAGTAGGATTCCTCTTACAGTTAAGGACACGTTTTTGTTGTAGCACCAACAAATTGAAAATCATATTCATGATAAACCAGTAATCCACTTGCATGTTCTTTTCCCAATTTAAACTTCTATCAGTAATTAACCACAAAGAAATACTTTAAGTTCCATAGGCCTTTGAAGGGGTCAAATCTTTCAGTGGTCACTATTTTTAGATTCAGTAAAGCATGTGATCTTTAAACAATGCTGAAAAATAAGTACCCGTATACGCTTACAAAAATGATGTATTATCAAGAAGAAATTAGAATATCAAAGTCCTCAACGAAACATGAGGCACAATTATCACAATTAGAAAAATCACTTCTTCTGGTTATAAATACACAAAGGTAGGGAAAATCATAACTGGATCAAATATAAAAGACAAATTTAAAGAAGATGCTCAAGGAAACATTTAATCGATGAAGATTCAAGAAGGAATATGGTCAAGAACGAAACTATGAGGAATACCAAATACCTCACAGGAACACAAAACTACTTGAATGTACTCTAACGAATGTATATCCAGCATTCTCTAAAAACTATCTCCATCCTACATCATCGTCATCTACCCTTAAGCACAACTACTAAAATTGTAAAAGACCTGAAAACCATGATCTACACCACAAATAATACTACTAATCCATAAACCAATCAGTCATTAAGCATGTTCCTTTATCTTTTGCTAATTTGTTTGTGTATTGTATTTATTTGCAATGCTCCAAAACAGTGAAATGCACATGATTTCTCTTTTCCTCCTAATCTGGAAAAACAAATCAGTAGCCAATCCCAATATTCTACATGATGTACCACACCACCATTTAGATTCCCCATTTCTCACTTTCACCATTTAACGTATTTAGAAAGGTTATTAGGGTGATTTGCTATCTAAGACTCACTTGGGAGTTGGGAGCGAAGTTATAAGTCGCAAGCTCTTGAAATGCAGTAATGAATTTGGATAATATTGGACATGGAAGAAAATATCACATACACAGCAAGCTACAACAACAATTAAAAAAAAAAAAAAAAAAGAGATCTTAAGCAAAAACCATGAATCCAACTCAAAAATGAAATCTTCCAAATAACATCTCAAACCATAACCCAAATCAAATGCACCAAATCTCACATAATCACATCAAGAAATAAATTATACAAATTGACATATTGGTAGAAACCCAACAGAGATTTCAGAGAGAGAGAGAGAGAGAGTACCAGAGGGAGTGAGATACGATTGTACCTGGAAAGCAAAAAATAAATTATATAAATTAACTCTAACATTTGTTGACTCTAACAAATTGATACATAATAACAGTTGTTTGGGATATAGATATGGGTGTACCTGGAAAGATTAAAATTCATCATGGAAGCCTTATTCGTGGAGGACTTGCTCTAGTTCTTCCATAGTGATATACCTGATAATCAGAATGCATTTTGGCAACATTGTTATAAATACGATGTTGATGATGATGAGTTATAACCTTACTCCATGTTATGTATAATTGAAATTTAAGAGCATTATGTAAAAGATATATAATATATATATATATATATATATATATAAATGGGTGCGGAAGTAGGGTAACATATGAAGCCGGAAATATCCGATATATGTATTTGGGAATTCAAAGAATTTGATTAATATCAATGTAAAATTTTTAGGATTAATAACAAGAGCATATATAAACAAAACTAAATTTAAAATAGATTTAGTATTCATGATTAAATTAATGATGCTGATATTCGATTGAAAATATTTATTGAAAATTAAACGAGACTTACAGAAGTTTCGTCTATTGACGATTTGAAAATTTAAAGACTGATCTTGGAGCTCGCAGGCATCCCTGATCTAAATTGTAATATATATATGTAGTACAATATTTTTGCTGAGAAGCTGTAGACTCTGTTCGATATGAATACGCAGAGTTTTCTGTTTCTTCAAAAATTGAAGCCCCCTTCTCCGATAGCTGGAGAGTTCCTTTTATTGATGAGGAAGGCCGACAAGATTGAGGGATGGAAGCGGGATTCCCGTTCTCCATGTGCTACTGCTGTAAAGAGGCCGAAAGCAGAAGATGCTGTCGGGGACTGTGACTTTCACGAGGGTGAATACTGTGGATGAATAGTAAAAGTGATTTTACTATTCATGAATAGTACCTTGTCTGCTACTGCTGCTTTCACATGCGGCTGGCTTTGTCATCATATGCAGTTATTACAAAATACTCTATCGAATCTAAATACAATGTATCCTACTGAGACTACAATTATACGAATTTAGAAATTCCTATACATGCTATTACAAGTTTAAAATTCGTATGGATCTTGAGAATCAGGCGGGAAGATATTCCCTTGTTTGGCTACTGCACACTGTGATGAAGCATCCGAAGAGTTGTCGGAGTCCGAACTATCTTCATTTTCTTCTTGCAGTTCCTTCATGAGAATTTTGGCTAGAGCCTTGAGTTTTGATGATTTCTTTTTCTTCGAACTGCTCGAAGATTTGGATGACTTGGTTTTGCCTTTGAGAGAGGAAGAAGGACTAATGTCCGATAATGAATCGATTTCTTCCTTGGTTGGTTCTGGTAAGGCTGTTGCCGGAGGAGCCGCTACTGCAGGTACTGAATCAGGACCCATGGGGAAGTCCTTGAGCACGACTTCAATGATCTTCTGGTAGTTGAACTTATCCCACCATTTGATCATTCTCTGTCGGAAGACTTGATTGGATTCAATCTCGTAATTCCAGCGGAGAATCCAGGGGGTCTTGTATTTTGCCAACAGGGCGAACAAAGGGATTCCTTCATCGAAACGCGTTCTATCGAACTTCTTCTGGAAGGTGCCTGATAAGACTTGCTTGAATTCATCTGGCATGAGGTCAGAGATAAGGCCATGTTCTGACCACCATCTGGGAAACCATGCAGGAAAATTCAATCTGAAACTTCGATCAAAGGTTATGAACCATGAATGACTAAAATCTTCGGATTGGTGTAGGAAGATGTTAGTCCAAGCTTGAATGTAATCAAAATAGGTATAATGGTTTGAGTGACTGGGAAAGCTACTGCTTTTAAAAGGTTTGGGCTGAAAAAGAGGCACTTGCCATTCTGACTCTAATAAGAATTTATTGATGGTAAGGGAATGATACAGGATTCTGTTTTGATTGCCAGAGGTTTTATCAAAGATGGGTTTTATGGTGATGGAGGAAGTCTCATTGAGAATAGTAGTATAATACTTGAGGGTTTTGTGAAATTCACTTGGCTGAAAATGGGAATTGGTTGGAAACATCTTTTTGGCTATTACCTCAGGTGTTTTCAGATGTTTGAAGTTGAAAGGGATACTGAAGAGATACTCTTTGGAGGGTTTAATAATATAAGGGGATGTTTTAGTATAACTTACTGAGGGAGATGGCGATTGCCTGTAGGTGGAGGAGAAAGGATCATACTGGTTTACTAACGCTGTTTGGTAATTTGGTCGGATACTTCCTAGAGTTGATCCTAATGGAGTAAATCTATTGGTAATGGCTAGGGCCGAGGAACCGGGAATAGGTTCCTGTTTTGGTGGTGGTAATGAGGCGGGAAGCCTCCTTAGTTGGCTACTGCCTTGTGGAGAAGCTGTGTTTTTATTAGACATTCTTCCCCTGCAAAAATTCTCTGGTTAGGAAATCTGGAATGCAGTTATGGCTGCCTTTAATGTATTCTATTTCAAAATCAAAGATTGATAATATGGCTTGCCATCGTGCAAAAATCTGTTTTGATGCAATGTTTTGAACATCTTTTTGTAAAACATGTTTTGCAGATTTGCAATCAACTCTAACAAGAAATTTTTGATTTAATAAATCATCTTGAAATTTACTAATGCATAAAACTATAGATAGTATTTCTTTTTTAATAGTACTATAATTAGTTTGAGCAGGATTCCATACACCTGAATGGAAACGAACAATTTGTTCAGGTGATCCGGAGGAAGTTTGCTGTTTGAGGATACCTCCATAACCAACGTCAGAGGCGTCAGTTTCAACAATCTTAAAAGAGTTGGGAGTTGGAATGCCAAGACAGGGCAAAGTCTTAACATGATTTTTAATCTGTTTGACAATAGAAGTATGAATGGTAGACCAAGCAGGAGGATTTTCCTTAAGGCGATCAAACAAAGGTTTACATTGCTGACGCAAATGTGGATAAAATTCAGAAACATAATTCAAAGAACCTAAGAATCTTTGAAGCTGGGGTTTTTCAGTAATCTGATCAGGAAACTTATCTGCAAATTGGATGACACGGTCAATTGGTTGGATGGTAGATCTATGGATATTATAACCTAAGAATCTAACCTTAAGTTGAAATAATTTAATCTTAGGGGCTGACACAACCAATCCATTTGATCTAATGATCCTAACAAACAAATGTAAATGTTTCCAGTGTTCATCTATAGATCTGGAGTAAATAAGAACATCATCAATATAAACAATCGTAAAATGACTATACTGATTAAAAATCTCATTCATAATATTCTGGAATTCAGATGGTGCATTTTTCAAACCAAAAGGCATAACATTCCATTCATAATGGCCGAAAGGCGTTACAAAAGCAGTTTTATATTTGTCAGATTCATGAATTTGGATTTGCCAAAAACCTGATTTCATATCAAACTTTGAGAAGATAGTTGCTTTACTAAGCCTTTTTATTAAATCTCTTTTGTTGGGGATTGGATATCTAATCCATTCCAAAACTTCATTCAAAGGTTTGTAGTTAATAACTAATCGGGGAGATCCCCTTTCAAGTTCTGCACTTTTCTGAACATAAAATGCAGGACACGACCAAGGTGACTTGCTATTACGGATAATTCCTTTATTAAGAAGGTCTTGTATTTCTGCTTTACAGAAATTCATTACTTCTTGACTCATT